AGAGAGAGAGAGAGAGAGAGAGGCGATTGGTCGCGAGTGAATCAGCAAAGGGCGCGTTTGGCAGTCTCTATGAAGGATTCCAAGGCGGGTTCTGGTGTGAGTCTAGCGTGCTTCGCAACGAAACACGGAAACTCTCTTCGGCGTTGGCACGCGATGTGGCTACCGCCTCGCCATCTCATGAATCGCGATGGCTTCGTCCGCGAAGGGGGGGCGGTCTTGGAAAAAGCAAGCAACCGCCGGACCACGTCCCCCTCCCCCCCCCCTAGCCCCTGGCGCCATGCAAGTCTCACTGGAACCTCGTCACACCAGAGGGAGAAAGAGAGAGAGAGAGAGCGAGAGCGAGAGAGAGTCTTCACTACCGACAGAAACTCAGCGAGGGAATGTCTCGGTGTGTCATTGTCTTCACACGTGAGGGCGCTAAGGTCTTTCGCGAAGATTGAACACGGGTGCGCTAGACGACGCCGTCGTCAGCCATTCTTCTAAGCGACGTCTTGAAGCCTGCACTCTGTCTCAACGTCCCCTCCCCGTTTCCCCGAGCCTTGCAAGTGCAACAGGTCTCACTTGGGGAGGATGGCTGGGGTTGTCGTTGTTCGTCTTGGTCGGTTCTCCAGGTGTGTGCCATGCGCCAAGATGTCGTTCAGGGTCTCAGGGAGAGGCTCTTCTGTCACAAGGCGACGCACATGGCAAAATGCATAGGGCAGAAATGCAAAGGCAACGTAAAATGACAACGGGAAGAAACGCCATCTGAACTTCACAGATGTCGCCCGGCTACGCATTCCGAAACGCCGGCAAGAAAAAACACACAGACGACGGCACATAACACCCGTCATGGCATTGTCGTCGGCCCATACTGCGCAGGCAAAATAAAGCACTGGCAAAACACCAGGGCGGCCGGAAGCTGTCACGTCGCAGAGAGACTTGGGACGATTTCGGCCGGAACACGGCGGCGTGACGGGCGGCAACGTCAGATGCGTCCAACAACGGACGAGTCACTGCTTCATCTGATGGCATTTCTGTTGCACAGTCGTGCCTGGGGTCTCTCGGAACTCGAGGCCTTCTTCATGCCATCGTCCTCTTGCCGGGGGGGATTCCCCAGGCCCCCTTGAACCTTGGCCCTTTCCCAGCAAACCTGTTGCCGTTCCGTATGCGTCCCATTACAGTTCCCAAACCTTCTCTGCCATCTTTCCCGGCCCTTGTCCACTCCAAGGGTCGATCACGGACCCCTTCAGCAAGGGCAGCAAGGGTCAGAGAGAGGCGGAGGCTACCTTGCATGCGGAGCAGAGAGTGCGAGAATCCGACAAGACACGAAGTGGGAGAGAGTACCTAGGCAGGCCAAGGTCTCCTTACCATGGCGCCCTTGTCCTTGCAAGGTTTAAGCCACCCTGCGCAGGCGAGGGGTTTTCATGGCGCCGGAGCTAAACTGAAGATCATATTGAAATTAGCGTTTGTTTCCGACCGTCTGTTTCTCAACCCCCCCCCTTTTCCCACACCCTTCCCACGCCTTTTCCACCCCCTTGACATATCTCACATCTCATACGCCCTCATACCTGTCTCTGTCTGTACACACGTACCATGCCAATATGGAGTCTTCCCCCCTTCGAGAAACAGGCTCCCGGTGCCCCCCCCCCCTGATGTACGATGCCGTGCCGTCTCTTTGACGCCGGCAACGACGGCGACTGCCACCTCATTCCATATCTTGTACCCGGCCGCCAGCAAGTTGAGGGTGGAGGGGAAAGATAGAGGGGGGGCAGCACGCGATGGGCGCATCGGAGTACACACCGACCTGACCCGAGAGCAGGAGGCTAAGGAGCTGCTAACAACTTACGCCGTACACTCCCAAACTTGACGTGCGCAGGCCATCCGCACGGCCGCCCGATGCAAGCCATGTCGACGGTGCCGACTTAGCGGCAACGCTTGTCTTGGACGCTTGCGGAGACGACGGGAGAACGTCCCTGGGCGCTTCTGGATGCCTCAAGCCACCAACTGGCAGCCAGTCGGGCTGCAATCCAAACCTTTATCTAGGGATACGACGTCGCCGTTGTTGCTCGTCATCTCTGGGACTACGGTAGAGCAGAGGAGAAAGAGTTCACAAGTTGCTAGGACTAGACTAATGCCTTACCTGAAAGGCCCTAGTCGACCGTCCACCCTTCACACACACGGCAGTCATGGCGCGTTTTTCTCTCGAGATGGTCGCGTCACCGTTGGACCGAGGAAGTGCCGGCTTTGGCCAAGAGGAATATCCGCTAGGAGGCCGCGGCCAACAGACGGCAGTTGAAAGGTCGTGGCCGTTGCAAAAGAAGAGGCTCTTGCAACATCCAAGACGCCGGCTCTCTCCATCCGACGACGACGACGACGACGACGACGACGACTGCTTGTGCATGAGCGGCTTCGAAACAAGGCCGCCTCGTTACGGACCTCTCTCTCTCTCTCGTTGTCTGCCTTGTTCCAGTTAAGCTTGTCTGAAGAGCCGGATCATGAGCGTCAATCGAAACAGCACCCCGTCCCTTCACGCTTGCCCGCTTCTGCCCCCAAGACCCTGCAGAAAGGCCCGGGATATCATGGCAGTTTAATGCCCTTCCCGTCCGTGTTATGGGATGGGCTTCTTCCATCCTCAATGCCGTCTGGCGTGGAAACCCCCCTCTGCCATGCGGCCCCTGGACGAACGGAGCCGGATGCGGCAGAGAAACGAAACCCCCCCCCCCCGAAAAAAATGTGCCAGCAAGTAGACGTGAACCCAAAATTGGGATCATCTCGCATCGACGACGGTCAGATCTGACAATTGTGCACATCATGGCCAGATCAGGGACTCTGGAACAAAAGACACCAGTCATCCGAACATGGGACCCAGCACGGCACATCGAAGCACCGTCCGTTTTCCTCAACCCCCCCCCCCCCCCCCGGCGGCGGCCCTTCTTCGCGGGCAGCCTTGGGATGACGTTTCTGGCACCTGCACGCACACACGAGGCAGAAGCGATGAACGGCATAAGATCAGCTCAACAATCCGGTCGCAGCACAGGGCTGGCAGGGTATTGATGAAGCTCTTGGGGCCTCACACGCCACACGCCCCCCCGACGTCAGTCAGGCACAGAGTCGTTGCTCGTCTCAAGTGTATGTATGTGTGTGTGTGTGTGGGCGGGTGGGTAGGTGTCTGTGGTGCCCTGCGCGTGCGAATGGCCACCCCCCTCAAAGCCCACGAGTAGCTACACAGCAATAACAGCAGACTCGTTCGTGCTTTGGGGGGTGGGTTCGCCTCGTTCCTAGACCGACCCCTTGGGCCTCCGTCCCAAACACACAAGCCTTCATGACAGGACAAGGGACAGGCCCCTCAGACTGCCCCCGTCTTCGGAACGGGAGCAGAAGCCAGAATAGGAAATGGTGGCCCGAGTGGTGCTATGCATGACAGCACTAGATCCGGATTAGCTCTGGGCATGTCAGCAGCCCACGCACCAAGACCTTGGGAGGGGGGAGCTGGGGAGGCGTGAGCAGGGGTGTGTCGGCAAGACGGAGGAGGGTGTGTAAGTGAGAGAGAGAGAGAGAGAGGAAGAGGAGAGTAATGGGGGGGGAGGTGTGTGTCCATGGACATGTAGGGGACTCTCTCAGTACATTCTCGTGTGGGAGAGGAGTGGCGTTGAACGGATAGCTCTGGCAAGCAGGGGGCTTGCCCGCTGCATAAACCAGTGACCGTTTGACCTCGAGCGATCCCATAGACGTTGATCCATCCTCGACCGGGGGGGGGGGGGGGGGGACCAGTCTCTCTCTCGATCTCACCCGCAATCCCGGCTACGTAAACCATGTACTGCTGCCAGCCAGCCCCCCTCCCCTTCAAGCCTGTGTGTTCCCCTTCTGCCCACGACGCAAGACTCAAGATCGCTGGTGTTGTGATTTGCTGTCCAGGCACACAACAAGCATCGTTCAGGATCCCCCCGATGCACCCCAAGTCAGAGAACGGGCCCTGTACCCTTCCCTGGCCCTGTCGTCCCATTATCCAGGAGTTGCTATAGGCAGGCTCTGTCCGAGAGGCAGGTAACGGTACGGTACCATACCATACTCGTACTCTGTATTGTTCCTTTCCTCTCTCTCTCTCTCTCTCTCTCTCTCTTTCGTCGTGTTTGTGGGTGTCCCTGCTACACATCCGGCTGTGCCTTTCACAGCCTCCCACCCAGTCTCATCTACTTGTGAGTACCGAGGATAACCCCGGCTTCTCCCCCCTTGTCGACGTCGAACCTTGAAGTACATACGTACTATGAGCGCACATACTATGTATACTATGTAGTAGATGTACGATGTACAGGTATAACCCTTCCGACGACCTTGGACTGACCCTTGCTTGACTGTCATCCCAGCACCACACCCCCCCGTCGCCGTCTTTTCGTCTGGTCCCCAGGCCTGGCGTAACGACCTATGCCACTCTCTTCCTTCTGACCCACACACAATTTGTGACAGGCGATTGTGTGGCATCCCATCGTTCAGGGATCATCGTGTGGATTTACGCTTGATCACCCATTCCACTCTGCTTCGGGAGATCTGATATACCTGCCTCCCCCATCTGCCACCTATACTCCATCCACCCACCAACAAGCTTCTTTCGCCAGGCCATTTCATACTTAAACTATCCGCCATCCCCCCCTCCTTTGTCGAGATACCCTCTGGAATCCTGAAGACTCCAGAAGCAAATTCAATCTCTAGTATCCAGCTGGCACTTGGGGCTAATCATCACTCTACATCTAATATTTTGTTGCGTTCCTAATATCCAACGCCCGCCCACCATCACCGTCACCAACACAACAATCATCATCATCGTCTCTTCCTCATCTTTGCACCATTGACGAACAAACAAAGATCAAGGCAAAATACACCTCTACTTGAAGGAGCAGCATCAGACCCAGCAGCAAACGAGCATCTCTCTCTCTCTCTCACTTCCTCTCTATCTCTCTCTCTCTCTCTCTCACACACACACAAACACACATCCCAAAGTCCTTCGGACCGCATAATCAGCAACAATGGCGAGCGCTTTAATATCGAACCCGTACGCTGCCCAGCAGAGCGCACACTACGGATATGTCCAGCCGCCTCAGCCCCCCCCATCGCCTCCCATGGACGAGACATCAAAGTGCTCGCTTCCCTCCATCTCGAATCTCCTCGGCCTCGCCGACCAGGGCTCGCCCACATCAGAGACTCACCCTCAAATCCCTCAGCAAGGTACGGATCGAGCCGACTACCAGCAACATGGCAACAGCTACACCAGCAGCAGAAGACTGACGCTGGATTCAGCATGCTCCCAAAAGTCCGAGACGAGGCCAAACTCGTCCCACTACGGCCGTGGCGGTCTCCCCCCTTCGCCGCCCATGAGCTCTGACGCCTCGTTCGACGGCTACAACTCGCCCTCGACAAGATCCGTCAGCCAGCTCTCCGTCGTCTCCCAGCCCCAGAGCAACTACTACTACGAGTCGACGCCTCCTCTCGAGGCCGACGCCCACCGCCACATGGCTCCCATGGTCTCCAGAGTCCCCGTCCAGGCCTCGTACGCCCAGCAGCCCTTCCAGCACGCCTACATGCCCGCTCACAACCCCATGGCCGCCTCCTACTACCCGTCCATGCAGCCCACGCCTCCTCCCCAGGCCCAGATGTCTGGCATCTACTACCAGCGCCCTCTCCCCCAGCAGTTCCCTCCCATGGCTCCTGTGCCCGTCGGTCTCGGCCCTGCCGGATCCAACCCGTGGCAACACCACCACTACATCTCTCCCTCCTCGGCCGCCTCGTTCCCCCAGAGCCAGGACCGGTACATCTGCCAGACTTGCAACAAGGCCTTCTCCCGCCCCTCCTCCCTCCGCATCCACAGCCACTCGCACACGGGCGAGAAGCCCTTCAAGTGCCCGCACGCCGGTTGTGGCAAGGCCTTCAGCGTCCGCAGCAACATGAAGCGTCACGAGCGCGGCTGCCACAACTTCGAGAGCGGCAGCAACTAAGCCCGAGATGCCTAGTTCACAAACGGTTCTTCCTCACCTCTTTTTCTTTTTTTATATACACTTTTTATTTTATCATCATTGCATCATGACGAGCACGACCGGGGACACACAAAAAAAAAGGGCTTCTCAATCGGGAATGGCGGCTACAATCTCAGAGAGAGTTGGGCATGAAAAGGAGGGAGGGGAGGGTGGAAGGGTAGCGCGGACCGGTTTCAACAGGAAAACAAAAGATACCCAACGTGGTAGACTATGACTGCCACCGCCGCCACGACAACTCGACAGATGGGGTTTCCAGACCAAGACGACATCCGGTTTAAACAATCATAATCAGCAACGACCAAAAAAAACCAAACCCTTCTACCCAAACGGCTTCTTTCAATGGCGTTCGACAACAAGGGTTTTCCCCACGGATTGGAAACAACACATACCATCCTTCACAGGGCGATCCCTCTCGGAAAGGGGAGGGGGATCGAAACGATGACAAAGAGGACGGACGGACGGGAGGGGGGGAGCTTCTACTGGGGTTGGGCAAGGGGTTTACCTTTCTCCAACGTGTGTTACGCTTAACCCTTTTTTCTATTTTCATCTTTTCTTCTTCTTCTTCTTCTTCTTCTTCATTTTTCTTTCTCTCGTCTTCTCTTCCAACATCATTTTCTGTCCATTTTTTGATGGAGCAACGAGGCGCGGATCAATGGCTGGGGCAAAGCTGGTCGCGGACAGAAAAAAAGTCCCCCCCAGGCAATGACATGGCATTTACAAGGCGTTTCGAGTTTGTACATCGGTGTGGTGGTATTGTGCGTTGTTTTGCGGCTGGTGTTTTTTTTTTTTTTTTCACTATTTGATGTTATTTTTGGTTCCGGAGGGGGGCATGGCCGGGATGAGATTGGGTTTTTTTCCATCCCATACGGATCTCCCGACACCGGCGGCTGTTTTCTACTTTGAGTTGCCCGTCTGTTTTATCCTGGCCTCTCGACCAAAGAATTATATCAAATGTATGATTATGTGGTAATGTAAATAGAAAGGAGGGGGGGGGGGAGGGTGGGGAGAAGAGGGCTAAGCAGAATCAAACAAAAAGTTGATAACCACCATCTGTGTGCGAGTTTTCCCCCATCTCTTTGCAAGTTGTGACCGTCCAAGGCGAATGTCGAGTCGAATAGCGATGGTCCCTCTGGCTTTCGTCGTAACCCATGTTTCTTGGCAACGTCTTCATCATAGCCAAGTGGTAAAACGGACTGGGGGGGGGGAGGTATATGTGAGACCGTTGCATTACGGAGTACTACTACACTCTTCAAACACACGGCACCGCAGACATGCACGGCGGGCATTTTCTTTACTTGTTTTTTTTTTTTTTAGTTATGCTTATGTCCCTTGGACTTTTGCCCCTGCCGTCTGCAAGGACAACACGGTTTACGGCTGCAGTAGAGATGGCCGGCCTGGACTTGACTTTTCTTACTTGATACACAGGTGCCGACTGTTCCCCCCCGAGTCCCAACCTAAGCAAGTCAAGCTTCTCGGAGGAGGGTCAGAAGAAAAGGGGAGAAACGAGGGGGATAGATCGGGAAGGGAATCAATGCAAATCAATGCGAAGCGTAGCAAAGCATAGTCAAGCATAGCGAAGCATAGCAAAGCAGAGGAAACGAAACGAAAGGCAAACGATGGGAAACCGAACAAGGAACGTCCGTCCCCCAGACCGGTGTGTATCAGAAACAGTCGTTCCGGAGAGAAGTACAACGTGAGGGGGGGCAGCCATGATTGACGATTGACGGACGCATAGAAGGCAAGGAAGGGCAAAGGGGACAGATGATCGACGCTGCAGAGAATGTCAGAGAAAAACGGGCTTGGGATGGGTTAGATAACAATTTACGCTTAAAAGTCCGTTGCCTTGCCTAGCGTGAGTTGCGGCCCTCTTCCCGTACGTACGTGAGAGGGACGCACACACAGAGAGAGAGAGAGAGGGAGAGAGGGAGGGCGTCCAGTCCAAGTGTGTCTGTCTTGCCCGGCAAGCTTGTTTCAGCTGGTCTTATTTATCCCATTGCTAATCCTCACGTAAGGGTCCAGACTTCAGACCGTACGTCAAAAAAAGAAAGAGAGAGCCCGTGCTGGGAGGGGAAGTCATGCGACCAACACAGCCGAACCTCTCTGCTTTCTGGCTTGAGACGGTTAAAAGATGGGTTATCGATTGGATTGGTTGGCTGGTTGGTTGGTTGGTTCGTGGGGACGCCAGTTTGTCGAAAGGTGATCCGATAGGCTAGCCAAATTAACACCGTAAATCCCGCGATTATCCACCCCACCCCGGAGGAGGGTTAACATAATCCTTTAATCCCTATTGGTAACTTCACGTCGGTAGGTGGGATTTTTGCCCCCTCAACCGATCTGCCAATGGTCGGCCAGGGATCCTCGCAGACCGGGGGGAACCGAGTACCGCATGACACCGCGATAGCGAGAGGGAGAGAGAGGGAGAGAGAGGGAGAGAGGCTGCTCTCTCCTGTGGCCAACACAAGAATATCAGGGTGGCCGCTGCAGCTGCTCACGCGGAGCCGCCCGCCCTCCCCTCCCCGCGGTCGACCATGATAGTTTACCCGCCACGATAGTGCCATACATCTACTCCAGACGCGCATCATGTCTACCCAGGACGGACACACGGCCGGTGGTGGTTGTTGGCACTCGTCCCCTCTTTTCCCCCCAAAGTTCAAATGACAAAGTGCGCCAATGGGGATCGCACGCACGCACTTTGTCCGAACCAATAAGTGCTAGAGTCTGGTTTGACAGCGTCGGAAACAAAAGTGCGGGAGAAGGGGGGGGGGGGGGGGGAGACAGAGAGAGAGAGAGTTGACTGATGTTCGGCGATCAGCGCGGGACCTACGGGTTGGCAAGCAGGGGGATGGGACACAAGACTGTGGCCGCCAACTCTATTTCGGTGAGACGACTGGCCCGCTGGACGAATGGGAGGGGCGCCGAGGGGAAAGTGAGAAAGGGGGAGAGAGAGGGCGAGGCGACGGTAGCATCGCGGTGTAGAACCTGGACGTTTGGAAACATTCCAGGTCGGGGGGAAAGATGAGGGACTAGGGTGGCTGTTTTTTCGTTTGTTTGACTCGACGATGCGCGCGGTAATCACCTCATCATCATAACTGTCTCCTCAAAGGTCCTGAAAGGTGATGCCGACGGTGTAGCATCCGCCAGTCGACATTGAATGTCGCCGGTTCGGCATCCGCGCCTTTCGCCAGACCAGACCCAGGAGAGGGAGGGAAGAGAAGGGAGGGACGGTCAGTCCAGATCATCATGTGTCATCCTGACTCGGCCTGCAACGCCAAAGTTTCCCTGCCCGGCCTCTGAAGAACGTTGGTGCCCGAAACGTTGACAACGGCTCGACGACAGCACCTTGGGCTCTTCTCGTCGTCCTCCGTCCTCCCCCCCCCCCCCCCCCCTCTCTCTGATCTACCAGGCCCGGGGGTTTGGGGGAACTCTATTGTGCCGCTGTATGATTCGCAAACCTCCACACAAGAAGGGCCCTCGAGTGCGTGTCTCTATCAGATACCCATACGGAATGGTATCGCGCCAAATTGAGACGCCCTCCCCCCCCATCCGCGGCCACCCAGCGTTTCTGCTGGTTTGTTTTGTTTTGGTTTCTTGTTTTGGACTATGCGTCTCTCGTCGGGGACCCTTGATTCAGGCTAGTGAAGGCATTGCCTTTACTACCACCTCTCTCCATTACACTCCCCACTTGCCTTGATTTTCGCCAAGGATCCGTCGTGATATGAAGCCTTCTGCCTCTCTGGCCTCCTCGGCCGTTTACCAGAGACCACGGGGACCTTGGGCGGGGTGGGCCGCCGACCAAGGTAAGACATTTACTTAATGAACGATGGGCCCTCCTCTCCTCTCCCGGAGCACCGGTCCTAATCTCGGGAGGATGGGGGAGGGGGGAGCGGTACGGGCGCCGAGATGAGACCTTCTAGCGCCGCGCTGGCACGGTGGTGGCTCGTGGTCCATCTCTTGAGTCGTCGTCTGCTATGCTGTTTGTACTACGGAGATGTAGAAGCAAATCCCTTCCCCTCCCCCCCTTCATCAAAACCCGCCCAAGCAAGGCCATTCCTTTCTCCCCCAACCCTGAATGAAATGCTTGTTCGACCCGCAGACGGTGATGGCCATCTCGCCAGAAGGAGAAGACATGGACGAATAAATGAAATAAAATAAATTAAAAACCCCGAGAAAGGACGATGCCTGTGGCGGTTAGGCACAGCCCGCCGCGCTGCATGGAACTCTCGAACCAGAGCAGGGAAGAGGCCGCCTTGATATACTATGTACACACACTCACACACACACACACATACACACATTCATACATATCGTAAATCGCCATGAGAGGGGGGGCATAGCATTCTTTGGGGCCAACGGGAGGTGCAGGATACATGTCATGTCGTAGTCTCTGAGATACGAAATATCAAACGGGCCTCCCCCCTCACCCCCAGTTTCAACGATCGTCGCCACCGAGCAGTGCTTGAATTTTCCCCTTCACTGCAATCTTGGGTAAAATCAAAGGTGAAGCAGAGGCGTCACACACGGGCCCGCGGGCGGCCATGGCCCGTCGCCAGTTCATGACTCTCTGTCACACACACACACACACACACTCTCTCTCTCTCTCTGTCACTTTTTTTTCGGTCTGCGCGCCTCGCCCGACGCCAGACGAAGGCCAAAACCTTCTAGCGCATCACGCCAGAAACTCAAAACGGAAGGTGGAGAAGAGATGCGCGCGGTTGGGACAGGATCCCATCTTGGATGGTCATGCCGGCTAACACGAGAGAGAGAGAGAGAGAGATACATGGCGGAGTAGAGAGTGTGTGCCAAACCAGGAGAGGGGGGTTATGGCCTGTTCGGCAAGCCGGGAAGAGAGCTGCTGCGGCTTGTCCTTGTCGAGGTTCATCGGGAAGCGGGTTGGTGGCTTAGTATAAAAAACCTCTTCCCTGTCTGCTGGCAGTCTTCAAGGCTGCCCCCTTCGTCCTCCT